GCGCTGCGCCGGCCCCTCCTCCTCCTCCTCCTCCTCCTCCTCCTCCTCCTCCTCCTCCTCCTCCTCGCCGGCCCCCCCTGCCAGAGGCCCACCCTCTGGGCCCAGGAGCTGTGCCCGCTCGGCGGCGGGACGAGTCGGGCCGAGAGCTGCAGCGCTCCCTGAGATCCCGGGGTTTCACCGCGGCCGCTATCCGTGCCAGGGTCCCGCGGCGTGGCATGCGTGGCATCTTCGCCACGCCGCAGGGGGTGCGCCATGGGTAGTCCCTCCGCGGTCTCTATCCGTCCCAGGGTCGCGGGGCGTGGCAGGCGTGGCACTCTCTCCACACCACAGGGGGTGCGCAGGGGGTGGTCCCTCACCGCGGTCTCTATCCGTCCCAGGGTCGCGGGGCGTGGCAGGCGTGGCATTTTCTCCACACCACAGGGGGTGTGCAGGGGGTGGTTCCTGCCCGCGGTGTCTATCCGTCCAAGCGTCGCGGGGCGTGGCAGGCGTGGCATTTTCTCCACACCACAGGGGGTGTGCAGGGGGTGGTTCCTGCCCGCGGTGTCTATCCGTCCAAGCGTCGCGGGGCGTGGCATGCGTGGCACTTTCTCCACCGCAGGGGGTAATCCCTCACCGCGGTCTCTATCCGTGCCAGGGCCGCGGGGCGTGGCAGGCGTGGCATTTTCTCCACACCACAGGGGGTTGCGCAGGGGGTGGCCCCTCACCGCGGTCTCTATCCGTCCCAGGGTTTCTTAGCAGTGCTAGTAGTGGTCGTAGCGGTGGTGCGCACATACCCAAAAACGGATATGTGGGTGTCCTCGGTAGTGCCATTTTTGTGACTCGGGCAAGTTTACTTGCATGGACGGGGGGGGGCCTGAGCCCGAAGCAAGCCGAAAATAGTTTGATGTGCGGAAATCACGCAAGTCGAAAGGCATTTGCACGCTCGTATTCGATTTAGGAGGGGCGAGAGGGGGGGGGGGGGGGCGAACGCCATGCAAGTAAACTTGTCACAGCGTCGGATCTCAGGGACGGCTCCGTGACCGCTCCTGAGATCGGGGCGTTGCACTGGCCCCCCACTGCCAGAGGCCAAGCCTCTGGGCCCAGGAGGTGTGCCCGCTCGGCTGCGGGACGATTCAGACCGAGAGACGTTGGGCGGGTCCCCCTACAGGAGGAATATCACAAAATTATCAAAACATAATCTGAGGACGATTTTTATTATTATTAAATAGTTCAGCGTATGTTTTGGCGTATTGTTTAAGCTTCTGCCCAACATCAGCCTGTAGGGAGGCACGCCCGACCTTTACGTGGCGTTCCCTGCGATCCAGGGGCCGCACTTTTCAGTGCGCCAGCATCGCTGCGCGGATTTCGCTTGGAAAACAGTGAGATGGGCCCAGATTGTCCTGGAGAGTGTCGTTTGGGATTTCGGAGTGAATTTCGTGCGGATTTCTTTGGCCAGGAATGAAGACTACAAGACATCCACGTGAAATTAACTTCGTTTTTCGCCCGCCGTTTCGGGGTTTTGCGTTGACAGATCCACGTAAAAACCACCCGCTGCAGCAAGTCTGCAATGTCGGTGCAGTGACTCAGTTTGTTTTGCGCCAGGCGTTTTCGCTTGCTTTTGGGCCTGGGGACCCTCACAGATCGTTCAGGCTCCCGCAATGCCGCAGAAGGATGGAGTCTCGGGCTCCGGTCATGCGACGTTTCGAATGTCGCCACGTTTTCGCAACGTCGGGTTTGCGGGGGCCTTCTCGACCACGGCCTGCACCTATGGCTCGACTTCGCTGGCGAGCTTCTCGAGCCCCGCCTGGCTCGAGGGCGCCCCTCTCTCGTCCGTTCGTGTGGACATCTCGGGCCGTCCCTCCGCTTCTCCCTCCGTGCTGTCGAGTGGGACGTGTCTGTCGTGTGATTGTGTCGGGGACATCGGTATGGGGGATATGCATAGGGCCACAGGGGGTGATGCATCGACCCCCAATCGCCCATTGCTCGCCGATAGGGACCCGATGGCCCCACCTCCGCCCAGGAAGGTGCGATTTCACTCTCGGAGGCCCAGCGCCGATCCATCGGCGATGGATCGCCGATCCCGGGTCGATGCATCCCCCCTCTGTGCTAGTCCCCCCCCGCTCGTTGCCCCTCAGTGTGGGCAGCCGCTGGATCCCGCGTGCAGCCGGGGCGTGCTGCGGGGTTCTCGCCGCCCCCAGCCTTCCTCTCCTCCCCCCGCTCTCCCAGTCTCGTCTCTCCCGCGCGGTGGGATTTCGGTGCCCAGAAGTCTAGACCGGGGCTGGACCTAAGCGCTGTTTTGTTGGACTTCGGCTGTGTTTTGTTTTGCGGCGTGTTGGCAAGAGGGTCCAGGAAAACAGGTAGAGCACCACGAAACACACAACGCAAACAAAACGAACAACAAAGTTTCGGTCCAGCCCTGGTATACACCACCACCAGGGAAGGGGAGAGGAAATGGACTTATAGATCACCCACGGAAGGGCTACCCTAGGGCTACCCCTAGGGCCTACCCCTAGGGCTACCCTAGGGCCTACCCCTAGGGCTACCCTAGGGCTACCCCTAGGGCCTACCTACCCGTAGGGCTAGGGCTACCCTAGGGGTACCCCTAGGGCCTACACCTAGGGCTACCCTAGGGCTACCCCTAGGGCCTACCCCTGGGGCTACCCCTAGGGCTACCCTAGGGCTACCCCTAGGTCCTACCCCTGGGGCTACCCTAGGCCTACCCCTAGGTCCTACCCCTGGGGCTACCCTAGGCTTACCCCTAGAGATTGTTTTTTTATCCTCTGGGGGGTAACGCTCGTTACCCGGGCCTCTCCCCCCCCCCCCCCCCCGTAACGGTAACGCTCGTACGCGGGGGGGGTCTCGGTCTTCCCCTCCAACATGCTGGTGCCCGAAGGCATGCGCACTGTGGTGTGGTGGTCGCAGGCGCACTGTGGGCGCTCGCAGGCCATTGCGGCGCTCGCATGCGCGATGCTGGTGCTTGCGGGCTTTGCGCTTGTACTCGAATCGTCGTCGTCGTCGTCGTCGTCGTCGTCGTCGTCGTCGTCGTCGTCGTCGTCGTCGACGGCGCCCGAAAACGGCCTCCGGAGGCCGAAACAGGCGGCAAACGTCGTCGTCGTCGTCGTCGACCTCGTCGCTCGTCGCTCGTCGATCATCGTCGTCGCGCGCGCGGGCGCGGGCGTGGTGCCGGGACCACGCGGCGGGCTTTGCGCTTGTACTCGAATCGCAAGCCACTGTGGTGCTCTCAGGCAGAGAGTGCTGCTCGCGCGCATACTATGGCGATCGCAGAGCGCCCCTGCTTCGCTATACCCCGCCCAGCCCAAGCGTTACCGTTACCCGGGGGGCACGACCCCCCCCCCCCCCCCGGGTAACGAGCGTTACCGGCCGGAATAAAAAAATGATCTCCTAGGGCCTACCCCTACTGTAGGGCTGCCCTAGGCCTACCCCTAGGGCCTACCCGTAGAGCTACCCTATTGCTATCCCTAGGGCTTACCCCCTAGGTCTACCCTAGGCCTACCCCTAGGGCCGCCTTTGCCGGAGGAGAAGCACGAGGATGAGGGGGAGGCGAGACGAGGAGGAGGAGGAGGAGGAGGAGGAGGAGGAGGAGGAGGAGGAGGAGGAGGAGGAGGAGGAGGAGGAGGAGGAGGAGGAGGAGGAGGGGGAGGGAGGGAGAGGGAGAGGGAGAGGGAGAGGAGGAGGAGGAGGAGGAGGGGACAGAGAGGAGGAGGAGGAGGAGGAGGAGGAGGAGGGAGGAGGAGGAGGGAGGAGGGAGGAGGAGGAGGAGGAGGAGGAGGAGGAGGAGGAGAGGAGGAGGAGGAGGAGAGGAGGAGGAGGAGGAGGAGGAGGAGGATGGAGGAGGAGGAGGAGGAGGAGGAGGAGGAGGAGGAGGAGGAGGAGGAGGAGAGAGGAGGAGGAGGAGGCGGAGGAGGAGGAGGAGGAGGAGGAGGAGAGAGGAGGAGGAGGAGGAGGAGGAGGAGGAGGAGGAGGAGGAGGAGGGAGGGAGGAGGAGAGGAGGAGGAGGAGGAGGAGGAGGAGGAGGAGGAGGAGGAGGAGGAGGAGGAGGAGGAGGAGGAGGAGGAAGAGGAGGAGGAGGAGGAGGAGGAGGGGGAGGACGAGGAGGAGGATGACGAGGAGGAGGAGGAGGAGGAGGAGGAGGAGGAGGAGGAGGAGGAGGAGGTGGCAGCCCCGCCTGCGCCGCCCTGGCGCCAGACTGCGCCCCCGTCGAACGTCGATCGGATCGGCTTTGCGTCGTCGTCGTCGTCGTCGTCGTCGTCGTCGTCGTCGTCGTCGTCGTCGCCGTTGCCGTCGTCGACGTCGCAGCCGCCGCCGCCGCCGCCGCCGCCGCCGCCGCCGCCGCCGTCGTCGTCGTCGTCGTCGTCGTCGTCGTCGTCGTCGTCGTCGTCGTCGTCGTCGTCGTCGTCGTCGTCGTCGTCGTCGTCGTGGTTGTCGGTCGGTCGATCGGTCAGACAGCCGCTCGGCCGGCGGGTCGGTCGGACAGTCGGACGGTCGGTCGTGGTCGTCGTCGTCGTTGTCGATTCCGTGGTGATCGTCGTCGCCGCTGGCCGTCGATGTCCGGCGTCGCCGTCGCCGTCGGCCGTCGTCGGCCTAGGGAACCCCCAAGGGGGGGAGGGTCTGTGAGGGGGGGTCCCAGAGGGGGGCCTCCTCCTCCTCCTCCTCCTCCTCCTCCTCCTCCTCCTCCTCCTCCTCCTCCTCCTCCTCCTCCTCCTCCTCCTCCTCTCCTCCTCCTCCTCCCCCCCCTCCTCCTCCCCCTCCTCCCCCTCCTCCCCCTCCTCCTCCCCCTTCGTCCCTGCACCTCCCCCCGCCCCCTGCCCAGGCGTGGCGACTTGGGGGGCAAGGCCGGGCAGGTGCTGTGCTGGGTCATCGCGCCCGTGTGGCTTGCTTGGCGCCCCTGCCCGCGCCCGCGCCCCTCTTGGGGAGACTGAGAGCGGGGGGGGGGAGGAGGAGGAGGAGGAGGAGGAGGAGGAGGAGGAGGAGGAGGAGGAGGAGGCTCCGTAGCCATTTTGGCTCAAGCCGCTCACCAGCGAGCGAAAGCCCTATTGCTCAAGCGATCGCGATGGTGCAAGGGGCCACCACTGATGCTGTCTTCGCTGCGGGAGGCTTCCTGAGTTCGTGGCGGCCAGCTCGAAAAGGTCAGCCGAGATAGACCTCTTCGGGCCGTGTTCTGCTCGCCGTGCTGCTAGTCGCAGGGGTCGGGCCGCCCTCGAGGCTACCCTCCGCGATCGTGCTTGCGTGGGCGAGCCACACTCATGGCAGGACAGGGAGATGGCGGCCAGGCACGGTCTGAGGCTCCTGTCGCGCGGCCAGTCTGTCCCTGGGGGAGCCCGCAGGAAGAGGAATGCGGCGTGGCACGCTGCTCGCGTTCCAGCGAACGGCTTTGTGGCTGCCTCGCCAGAAGAGCTCGCTTGGGCAGCAGGCAGCAGCGGAGCCCAGGCTGGAACATCACGCTGCTGCTGCTGGTCCTGCCGTCGGGGGATCTGCCATGCGGGCCGATGTCGTCGCCTTCGTGCCGCTGGGGGCTGGGGCTGGAGATGGAGCTGCCGAGGTTCCGCCCGTTCCCGGCGCCGCCGATGGCGGGATGACATGCAGCACATGCGGGGCGATCGTCTTCCCTGGTGCTGTTGTGCGCTCGATGTGGGACGTCGCCACCGACCCGATCTGCGTTTCGGAGTTTGGTGCGGTGGAGTCGAACTTCCTCGGCCCTCCTCCCGCTCGGGCGTTTGCTGCTGAGGAGCCTGCGCGAGGACGCGACGATGAGGGTGATGGTTCAGGCATCGCGGCTTCTGGGCCCCTGCGGGGGAGGACTGCCCGCAGAGTTATGCAGCCGCCGCCTGCAGCCGGTGCGTGGGAGCCCGTGGGTTTGCCGGTGGACACCGGTGAGGGTCTCCTCTTCGCTAATTGTGCTGCCTCTTCATCGGTTATGTTTTTCTCATCGCCCTCGTCTTCTGCTGGGATGCGGCTGACGTCGTCGACTGCTGGGGCTGGATTCACATAGTATTGTTGCGTTGCTTACGATTCGGAGGACGACGACGCTCTGCTCAACGAATCTGACTTCAGCGGCCTCGGCATAGAATGCTTTCTCTCGGGCTTGCATTGCTGTTCTTCAGGTACGGTTTGATGTGTATGATAATTCTGGCGTTGGATTTACGGCGCTCTGCGATTGTTGTGGCATCTGTTATTCTCTCGTGCGGGGCATGGGCTTCCTGCTACGATTTGATCGTAATGTATGTGGCACTGCGGACCGACGAGATCGAGCATCGCTTCTTGGTTATGTGCTCGGCGTATTGAATTACATATTCGCTGTCTCTGCTTTCTTGAGGTTCGTTGTTTATGCAAGCGATATTCACGTTGTCTCTGGGGTACCTCGCTCTGCTACGTACGTTTTCAGCGTGTTCATGCAGGTCGTGCTGTTCACCGCGCTCTTCCCGACTGAGGTGTTGCCGATGGCAACAAGGAGGAGGAGGAGGAGGAGGAGGAGGGGAGGAGGGGGAGGAGGAGGAGGGGGAGGGGGAGGGACGGGGGGAGGGAGGGAGGGAGGGAGGGCGGGGGAGGACGTATGGGGGAGGAGGAGAGAGGGAAGGGGAGAAGGAGGAGGAGGAGGAGGAGGAGGAGGAGGAGGAGAGGAGGAGGAGGAGGAGGAGGAGGATAGGGGGGAGGAGGGTACGGAGGGGCAGGAAGACGGGGGGAAAAGGAGGAGGGGGACGGAGGAGGAGGAGGAGGAGGAGGAGAGGAGGAGGAGGAGGAGGAGGAGGATGAGGAGGAGATCTCTGACAGGCCCTGGCCACGCTGGGGAGGGGGAGGAGGAAAACGATGATGGGGAGGAGCAGGCGTATGACGAGGAGGGGGCTGATCGAGCAGAGAAAGGAGGAGCAGGAGGAGGAGGGGGAAGATCAGGAGGTGGAGGAGGAGGGGGGCGGGGGAGACGGACGGAGGAGGGGGGGGAAGAGGAGGAGGAGGGGTAGGCGGAGGAGGAGGAAGAGGAGGAGGAGGAGGAGGAGGGGGAGGAGGAGGTGGAGGAGGAGGAGGGGGAGGATAAAGAAGAGGAGGAGGATGAAGAGGAGGAGGAGGAGGAGGAAGAGGAGGAGGGGCAGGAGCAAGAGGAGGAGGAGGAGGAGGAGGAGGAGGAGGAGGAGGAGGAGGAGGAGGAGGAGGCGTTGCTGTGTCATCGTCGCCATCGACACCGTCTCGTCTAGTAGCACCATCGTGTCTACCATTGGCGACTTCGCCACGTCGCCATGATACCGCGTCCGCCCAAAACACTGGCCCGCACTGAAGTGCTCGCTGGGAAGTGCCCACTGGTCAGCGCCACCGCGGCCGCGTCGGTCACACCACACTAGGTGGCCGCAGTGCGCGCGAGCATGCGCCGGCGAGCGCGGCCGCGGATATGCACCAGCTAACACCAGACACTCATCGCGATCGCCGCCGCATGGGTTTTGCAAACCAAGTTGCGAATGGGTGGGTGGGAGTATTGCGCGTGCACAGGAATTGACTATCCGAACGCTTCCAAACTCAATAGCGCTGCATAGATTGCATCCGTTTCGCCACGCAGCTTGAACCTCATAGCTCACACCACAACTAGTGCACCACAAACCATGCACCACTTATCTTGCACCACAGAACTTACACCACGCAGATTGCACCACACTGCTTCAACCACATAGCTTGCGCCGCATAACTTGCATCGCACAGATTGCATCACGCAGCATCGTCGATGTCTCTGTTTTGGGGCCGCGGTGAATAACATCGAGCGGTTGCTGCCGTGACCCGTCGACCTCGTCTTACCCCCCTCCTCCCCCCCCTCGCCCGCTCCCCTTGTCCTATCCGCAAAGGCAAATCCTGACGACATGAGCGGTGCAAATTGCCGCACTTCAAACATTTGTTCAGTTGCTGGTCACATGAAGCGTGCGATCGCGCTTTTCACCGCTTGCTTGGATGCCCCGCGGAGTGGTCGATCACGTTCTCAAGGGTCGAATGCTTCGGGCATCGTGTCAGAATGTTGCCCTTCCTGCAAAATCATATGTTTGCTCCATTGCTCTAGTGTCTGAGTGGGGGTGGTCTTTCATCCGGGGGTTCTACATGCTGCCGCCTTCTCATCCACGTAGTTCATGTCAAGCTTGCCACATATGGTCGACATTCCTACATCGAGCCTTCGTCCCCCCCGCCGCTCAGGGCCCTACCTTTTTTTATGTTGGTGTGGTGGCCTATAGCGGCGGTCGTATTCCTCACGCAGCCTGTTGCACTATGCCGCGTGGCGGTGCGTTGTTTCTTTTTTGTTCACTGTCATGTATGAGTTGCCGTTCCACATGCAATTCATTCCCAATGATTGTACAGTTCCTTTCTAAAGTCGCTCATTTTGCTTTCTCGTTCGTTCACACGCGTCTGCTCTTCGTTGATCCGTCTCACCCATCTTCATTAACTTGTCACGCTCAGGGCTTGGTGTGTCGGCGACGATAGTGGTGACGTGTCTGGCAATAAAATCGGTGGTGCAACGGACATTGGGTGAGCGGCTAATGCGGACCAGGGCGCCGTACAGATGTATTGAATAGGCGTTCGTGCGCAGCGGAGTAGCGACGTGTCAGCTTTCAGAAGGCCGGTACGTTGCCGATGGTAGGCTTGGTAGTTTCCTTGGGCGCTCGAGGGCACGCACACTCAGAGGAGCCAAGGGAGCCGCGCACATGCGCACGCACAGATGACAGATGCAAGGACACGCGCACGCACGCACTTCCAAGCCGTCTCGAGGTGTTCTTCTGGGCGCTCGGTCAAACGTCTTCAAGCGAGCCATATTGAGCCGCCCTGCAGCCCTCGTGCGGGTATCCTCTAACTGTTTGCGCCACTTGGTTTGTCGCTTTGGCCAGCCCTGCCGTTCGTGGCACAAGTCCATTATTTATATCTCCCCCCTACAGACTTGGAAGTGAGGGCTGGGGGCTGGGCTCCCACGGAGAAGAGAGATCGAACAGTTCACGGAGGGAGGAAGCAAGAAGAGCACACGGGGAGGTCAGCGTTGAGAGATCTGTGCAGAGAGATGTGCGCTCTCAGGTAAGAGGTGAGCGCTTCGCAGATTTAGCGGTCGTTGGCGGTTGGGCGAGAGAAGTCGTGTTGCACATGCCATTGTTTCTGCAGCGTGCTGGGAGCGTCGGGCTCTGGGAGTCGCGCAATGGGGGGGGGGGGGGCGATAGATGGGGGGGGGACAGCGAGGGCTGCAGAACAGGGGCCCTGCAGGGCCGTTCGGGGCCCGAAAAAAAAACCCTTCGCCCCCCCCCCCCGTCCTCGCACCACGGGCTCCACGGGCGCAGTGGGCTCCCCGGCTGCTGCACGGACGGAATGCTCGGCTGCTACATGCTGGGCTGCTCCTGCACTGGGTGTCGCACTCCCCCCGCTCGTGGGGGGCTCCCAGGATTGGTCCTGAAGGCTGGACAGAAGCTAGACATCCATCGGTCGTTGAAAACAGGTACTCCAGATTTCGTAATAAAGGGAGGGGGGTCTCATTTCGGGGGGTGGTCTCTTCCAGGCTATCTTGGAGGGCCTGGGGGGTCTGGGGACGATGTTTTGGAGGGTTCTCCCACGGGGGAAGGTCTGAAATGGCTTGTCTTGGAGGGTCCAGACCCCCTCCCTTTTATTACGAAATCTGGAGCATTCTCGGACGCCCAGATGCCAGTGTGCTTTAGGGGCCTGCCGATTTCATGGATCGTCTGGCGTTCCCTCCTCCTTCGTCCTCCGGGAGCGGGCGACGCCCCCCCCCCAATACTTTCGATGCCTTCCTGCTCCACGTGCCGACGCCCTTCTCCGGCCGATGGGCCGTTCGGTGAAGCGAGTGAGTTGCAGGGCTTCTGGCATCGTGGCATTGTGGGGGATCGGCTCACGAGGAGGAGGAGGAGGAGGAGGAAGAGGAGGAGGAGGAGGAGGGGGAGGAGGAGGAGGAAGATCAAGAGGAGGAGGGGGAGGAGGAGGAGGAGGAGGAGGGGGAGAAGGAGGAGGAGAAGGCTTCTGGCATCGTGACATTGCGCAGCATTGATGTGCCAGTGAGCGGGACAGTAGAACAGCGGGGAAGGAGTCACGTGCTATAAGAGAGGCCTTACGGCCGGTGCCGCCGACCCTGAAGGGCGGCGATGACGACCCCGATCTTCCAGCGAGTCGGACAGTGGAACAGCGGGGGAGGAGTCGTGTGCTGTTTGTGGCGCGGTCGTCTCGCACACATCCTGGCTTGGGCCACTCTTCAGAGGCAACGTCAGTGGGGGATCGGCTCACGAGGAGGAGGAGGAGGAGGAGGAGGAGGAGGAGGAGGAGGAGGAGGAGGGGAGGAGGAGGGGAGGAGGAAGGGAAGGAGGAGGAGGAGGAAGATCAAGAATCGAGGATCGAATCCTCGATCCTCGGTCCCCGGATCCTTTTTCCTCGATGCGATCCTCGATCCCCTTTGGGGCCCAGGATCTGGCGGCGGGGCATTGGCCCCACAGCGGCCATGGATCGCTGGTGGGGGACCGAGAGCCCTTCCCGCCCAGGATTTTGCCGTTTTGCTATCTGGGGCGCATCTCGGCGATCTATCGTCAGGCGATCGCAAACATGGATCGAGGGGGCAGATTTCCGCCGCCGAGCGAGGCGGCACCGGCCGCATTTTGGGGAGGGCACCTCCTCCGACCCTTAGATTTGGCGACCGCGTGCCAAATCCATGGAGCGCTGATCCATGTTTGGGCGCTCCCGGAACCAGGTTGATGTTCCCCCTTGTGCCAGTCCCCCCCCCGAGCGTTGCTCCTAAACTCCTCCATCATCCCAGGCGTTCGCCAATGTACTACAGTGTTGTTGCCATCTGCGTTAAGACGGAACGCAACCCCAAGCAGCACGTGAACACGCTTGTTTCACAGACAATTCCTCTTCTCTGCGTACAGGAGGCTGAAATAGGGAACAGCTCGAGTTGGAAAGGGGCCTCGCGGTTCCACTGGTACTGCCGTGGTTGTATCTCCAGCGTTCCTCGCGCAGCCAGGCTTTTCTGGAGCCAGAATATACACAGGGACCCTGAAATAAGAGTACGCGATTCCGCATGGCTGACCCTTGTTTCACAGCGGAGCCGCCACAAGTGTATCACAGTGGTTTGTTTCACCATCGTGCCAATGCACATCTGACATGTACGTTGATTTGTTGTTCTCTCCCTCTCTCTCTCTCTCTCTCTCTTTCTGGTCTGATGGTTTGACTCTACTTCTGCTCCATCCTCCTACGGTTGCGAGGCTATGTTTAGCGTGTACGTCGGAACAAAATCTTATACACGCTAAGAGCTTGTGCGCTTAGCGTGTAAATCAAGCTTAGCGTGTAACGGGCCTCCGCTTAGCGTGTACCCAGTTCGATCTGGTATCTTCGCCGGGCCAGTGCTGCAATATTACGCTTAGCGTGTGTAAGAAGAGATCCTCCCCTGGTCCCCACCCATCCGCCATGCTCCCCCTCCTCCTTCCCTCCCTGTAC